AACAGCGCGCTTTACTACTTCTACCGAGCTCAGTTCCTTTAAAGGCACTGCCTCAGGAAACTTGGTCGCGGGAGAAATTACTGTTAGGAGATGACGGTAACCAGATGTTGTTGTTGGAAGAGGCCCTACTGTGTCGATCACTAGTCGACGAAAAGGCTCAGTGATCACCGGCACGAGCTTCATTGGGGCACGAACCTTATCCCCGGGTTTTTCCACACGCTGACAGGTGTCGCAGATTCTGACGAAATTTTCTAATTCCGGGAAACAACCCGGCCAATAGCATTCCTGCAGCAGGCAATCCTTCGTTTTTTTTTACCCCCAAGTGACCCGACCATGAGCTACCGTGAACTAAGTGTAAAAGATTACGGCGGTAACGTTCCGGTACCACTAACTGATCAAACTGCACCCGTCTGCGATCTAGATACCTACAATAAAGTATCCCGGCCCTGTTCTGATACATCACGTTTTTCTTTGAAATAGCCTCATTACTCTGACTCCTTATATTTTAAAGAGTGGGGTCTGCTCTTTGCTGCGCTATAAGGGACGATCGATCCACTCCCAGCAAAGTCTGAAGGCTACTAGATGCAGGAGTAATCATTTCCTCACAGACACTTTCAGATTCAAGAGGGTCTTGCTCATTTTCATCCGCGCCTTAATCGCTCACTTGATCAGTGCTTGGTGTGATCGTGTCTACCATGTTCGTGGGCTCTTCATCTCCGGCTTTCTCGGTGATTCTCGAGGGAACATCGAGCGGTGCGGCTCTAGTTGCGAGTTCTCGCGCCTTTGAGCGAGTGAGCGCGCACACAACCCAATCCCCGTACGATAGGTTCTTCTCTCGTAGCAATCAATCGGATCTGTTTGAAAACAAGTATGCATACTGCTTTGGCAAATAAGCAGATACTGCAGCCTCTGTGTGCAATGCACCAAAGGAGCCCTCGATGCATGCATACCTTAGCAATCGTAAGGCATACGCTTGATGGTTCCGCTGCTTGTTTAATCCAAGCGCACCCTCCTGTGAAATGTTCAGCTTCAACATACGAGGCATGGACCACGTCCATTGTCGCTGCCGAATCCCGCAGCACGCGACACTCTTTTTCATTTACTATCAGCTCTCTGATATATGGCTCCAGCAGTCGCATGTTTTCACCCTCGTTGTTGATTGAGAGGCAAACAACTTTTCGACTTTAGCAGATGGCCGCAATGCGACCTGGCTTGTGGCATTTATAGCACACAAGTGGTCGCCTCTTTTCGAACGCACTGTTTTGGTGCTTTTCCTCAACCGTGGTCTCATTACTTACCTCCCGTTGCTTTTCATGATCAGTGTTGCGCTCTCAATTCTCTTGGACTGAATGTGCCCTCCACCCAGTTGCCTTTTTGATCTGGCCCTCCCGCTGGAGGATTTCTCTTCTATCAAGCGCGCTGCGCAAAACAAAATCCTCCGCTAGCTCCGCGGCTCTCGACACAGTGGTTACCTCCTCCCTGTCTTGCACCCAGAGCCTAACGCCTTAGGGCAAACGACGGTAATATTGCTCGAGTCCCAAACACTCCACGATTTTCTCTTTATGCTCGAACGCCTTAGCCTCTTTGAGCCACTCCCTCATGTTAGACATTAACTTGTATGCGAAATCAGCATACGACTCGTCTTTCTGCATTACGGCGTTCCGGAACTTCTGCCTGAATGCTTCTGCAGACAATTTATATTTCTTTAGCAGGCTCGACTTAACTTGGTCGTAATCATCTGCTTCCTCTCTTGTCAAGCGGGCAATTACTCGGCAGCCTCACAGGGCAGTAGGGTAAGCAAGCACTGCGGCCACATCGTTTCGGTAACACGCGCCTTCTCGCATGGGCGCTCGAAATTTACCAAGAACAGACCCATGTCCTCTCCGGAGCGGTAAGGTCTCATTAGGTCTTTCATCCTGAACGCCTTCCGTTGTACTCCGCTAGACGCTTCGCTACCTTCACTACTACCTCGAGCCTTGAACAGCTCAATTTCAAGGCGCTTCATCTCAAGATTTCTTTCTGCTGCTTCGCGTATGAGCCTCTCATTTCTCTCTTCAGCTTTGTGCCTTTCATGTTCGTCTATCAGCTCTAGACACTCTGAGAGATCATCGTCATCTGCGTTAACGTTCTCAATAGCCTCGATAATCTCTGGCTTTCTTATTTGTTCACGAACATCCAAATCCAAACTTTTAACTAACTCTAGCAAAAGTGGTTTTTTCAGTGCGTTCAGATTCATGGTTGCTACAAGTGCTGCTAACTTCACTACTACTAGGACGCTATGTTCCCATGCACAAGTCAACGTAAAGTAGTTATCAAAATTTACCACCTTTCCTACAAAACTCTAGATAAAGCCTGGCAAAATCTTAGTGATGAAAAGTCAAGCACTCACCACATCCTGCAGCCATGATCTCGGCGGAGACGATCCCGATGCTGGCCCGAGCTTGTTGCGACTTGGCGTGAGCAGAATCCCACCGCTGCTACCAGTTGTTACGAGCCGCGTCGGTGGCCACAGCGGACCCAGTAGGTATAATGGAGCTGGGTGGTGGTCGTCATTTCGCAGGCCACGGGTACGTTCAGAACTCCAGAGAGCTGAGGCAGAGGGACGGGCGTAGAGGAAAACTTAACAAGACGTTTATTTTAAACACGTTGGACAGTGACGTCTGAACGGCGACTCTTCTCGCGACTCTCTCCCGTTTTCTTCTGGCGGGCTGCTCCCGCTGGCTCGCCATGCAGTTTCAAAGATAGGGGCGGAATGTCTCTTCGGAGAACCAATCACTCATGGAGAGCAAAACACAAGTATTCCTTCTCACACGTGGCAGACGCACGTGGCACACGCGCGGGGACTCGGAAGTGACCACGCAGGAGAAATTCACGGCAGTCGCTCCTGTAGCACACAGCCGGCCTTTCGCACATTCCAGAGGGGCTTCCCGTAGCCACTGCCCCGCAGGCGAAGCGCACAGCCGAGACAAATACAGCCGGTGCAGGCGACAACCCTCACCCCACAAAAGAATGTCCGAGATGACGGAAAGGCACGCTTGGGGGCAGCTGGCCCAAGGACTTTGTTACTGCTTTGTAAGACTACACACGTTCCCATTACGTTTTATAAAATTAAGGAACGAGATGCGTCACGTGTCACATAGACGTTTACTGCTGTTGGGATTATTTCTCTACCGTTCGTGAACATTTTCTTTTCGTACACGTTGTTCACGTAAAGACTTCTTTTTTTAACCTATAGTTTCAAAATAGATGTGCCACGCATATATTATTCTAAAAGATTTGCACTACTGTGAAATTTTTCTTATTCAGTGACAGCAGACGAACTTCAAGCACGTTGGAAGAACCTCAAGGACACATTCAGGAAAAAAATAAACGAGTAGAAAAAAATCAAAAAGAGCGGTGCTGCAGCTCCAACGAAGACAGCATATTGGCCGCACACTGAACAGATGACGTACTGACTTTCCTCAGAGACGTATTGGAACCTAGGCGGTACGTGACGTAATCGTAAATATCGGTTGGCAATATTAAGCGTGAGTTTTAAATAGCCAATTTAACGTAGTACTCGTATGCTTGCTGTCGTCTTTGTAATGTATAGTCATTTATTTACTGAATCATACATTGCTTTCAGGAGCATCAGTAACATGGATGCCTGCGAGGAAATAGCGGTTCCAACATCTATGCCTGTGGGGCCACTCGACCTCCCATCGCAAGCTTTCCGGAATGGCTCAGATGTTGATAACTGCCCCGCCACAAGAAATCCGTTTGAACTTATTTTCCAAGGGCCTAGCGTACCATAACGCGTTACAACACCACCAAATCCGCCACCCCACCATCCGCCTCCCTGCAATCCACCGCCTTTCAATCTACCACTTTCCAATCCATCACATGCTGCCAGCTGCCCAAGAGAAAGTGAGGAAGTTTCATCGACGCCACAACAAAAGTCAAAGCGGCAGCGAAAAAGAGAATTGGAAACTGCCGACAAGGAACTGAACGCAGTGCGCAACGTCATTGCGGCTCACAAGCCGATGGACGCTAACGGGTTATTTCTTTTGTCTTTGAAACCCTACCTGCAAAGCACGCCACAAGAAATGCTCACAGATTTGAAGATGGATCTACTCCATATTTGCTCCACCTATAGCGAGGGGCGCCGTCCTCTTTCACTGCGTTCATACGATTGTTGAGTGCAGATTGAAAATAAAATAGAACTAGGCAGTGAACTTCATTCGTCAGTTTCTTTATTTGTTGAATGGCCAATTCAAGCACATTAGGTTTCAAACTGAACTTTCTGTATAGGCAAATATGGCACTGTGCATGAATTATAGATATTGTACTTTCCATTAACACTTTATGTTTGCTTAGTGACAATACAGAGGTGTCGATGCATAAACACTCGATTTCTGAAGCCATGTCAGTAGCCCCAGAAATATAGAAATAAAATAAAAACATAATATATAAAATAATACTGGGATGGAGTGTGGTGTATTATACAAAATGATAACTAAGGTGAAACGACACTCGAACTTCAATGAAAAGAGAACACGGTATGTTACAAATTATGAGCTTATACACGCCCCTCCTCCTGAAAAAAGAAAAATTGAAAATAGAATATAGGCTATCTCATTATTTTTATAATTGATTTCCTTTGACTTTCTCGCTAAAAAGTCATCGCTCACCTTGGCATGCACCCTACGATACATTTTGTAAAAACTTTAAGGGCGTAGTCCAGCGAACGCCCGCTGCCAAGGCACGGCCCCCTCTGGGCTCACAAAATAAGATCTAAAAAAATGTCTTGTTTCAGCCGCTGATTTGCGGTGATTGTGGCCCACAGGAGGCTGTAGTTGAACCACACAGCTCCTTCTGCGTCTGCTGTTGTGCACCACTGGCCATCCGTGGTATTTCCATACGGATTCTCTCTATCCGCATAATTGACGGGCATGTAGAAGACGTCTTCCGATAGGAAGTTGTGGAGAACACACGACGGCACGACAACATAGTCAGCGTTTTCAAGTAGCAGGTTTATGATTCTCCTGAATATTCGAAACCTTAATGTCATGACACCGAAAGCCTTTTTCACGCACCTCCTGCGCGCAAAAAAATCATGACGCAAGCATAGGTGAGTATTTGACAGAAGAGGAAGTGTAGGTTTGAATAGCACAAGAACATTATGTATAAGTACATATAAGGCACTTAATGTCAACAGTTATTTCATTTAATGAAAATTCTATGCCATCCAAATCACCTTGCGCGGATCGGGCGATAATAGAATATTCGTTTTTCATCTTCAAGTCAAGTTCCTGGATAGGGCCGTAGAAAGTCTGGGCGAAGCTGGAAAGCTTCATCACCAACAAACACATGTGGAGCAATGGTGGTGTCACCAGGTAGTCGCCGTGGTGGTGGAAGACACAGCAGGCTATTCTCCAAAGCTCGGCCGAATTTAGTACTGCTGAATTTTACCCCTTCGCTCTGCCACCCATAGGCACCCACATCAACGGTAAAATTGCTGTCGACCACTGCCCTCAAGACAATGGAGTAGGTCCCCTACGATAAAGGAGTAGTTTGGTCATCAGAGAAGAACTAATAACCTACTGATCGAACAAAGTACACTAAAGACGCGGCACTAAATAAATGTTTAGGCTGTTCCACCGTCAGCTTGTGTTACGAATTTGATAACAGGATATGCTCAAAATATAAAGCATTTTACGCAATGTCACCACTAGCTTGTAGTTGTAGTACAGCCTTCCGGAGTGCGGTGGCATTTGAATTTGGATATGTTTCCCGTCCACCGCTCCAACATAAAGGGGAAATTCCCACTTGTCGCAAAAATCATTTGCGATCCCTTGCCACCAGGGAGCCATCGGAATCTGAAATGAGCAATGTTGTCATCACTAATAAGCTGAAATATTGTCGTCTATAAGCGAATGTCTCACCACAGAGAAAAATGAATAAAAATAGGTATGATTGTACTTGGTAAGATATAAGTTTATCGTTTAACGTTTGAAGGGCTTCTGAAGTTAGCCCGTGATGAGGTCATAGCAGAACTGAAAAATTTGAGTGATGTCCACTTGTGCCTTTGTCACCAAGTACATTCAATAGAACAAGCATGTACGCATAATTGCGAAAAAAAAACAAGAGCACAAAAGCACGAACGGCCAATTTTACATAAACAGCGCCAGCAAAGGCCAAGGAACACATTGCTTTTAAAATACGTACAGCATGCCTTAAGACAACTAGGTTGCAGTGCACCCCCAGGAGCCTGCAAGTGAAATAAATGATACCGGCGGCTGGGGAAATTCCTACTCTAAAAGCCATGGCTACATCCTGAATGTACATTCCAGAGGCGAGATATCTGAAAATGAATTTACTGTGAGTATATTCTAGTTAATACGGAAAAAGATAAGAGCAAAAAATTTAAACAGTCAAGTGGTATGCGAATATACCTTATAGTATTGGCAAGCCTTGCTTTTGATGGCACGGACTCTCTTGTGACCAGCATCCAGGTGAGCGGTTCTTCGACAAGCGAGTGTAGCTTTTCAAACTTCTCAGGTATCATACGATAGTATTTTTTAAAATACTCTTTGTCACCAGCCATCAGCAAGGGCATCTGCGCAAACATTTCACAATGTGACGAAACAATTCTATAAAAAAGCTACTAAGAATTCAAAATCTAACCCACATTACCGAGGTGAAGAACTCTGATTCCACATCCCGAGTCATCCACAAGGGCCTCACCCACCAGCGCCGTTCCATCGGAAGACTCAGCAGTATTTTCTTTTTTATGAAGAAGATATTCTTGCATTCGTAAAAGATGAAGGCAATCTTCGTCGCAAGTGACGCATACTTCTATTGAGTAAAAGTCGTTCTCGCTTGAAATGGCCATGTTCACTGGTAAAATCGAGTTTTGCTCTTTCCTTTTCGTTGCTCTCGACGAAGCTTCCACTGGAGTGAGAAACGTGTGCACGCACCTGGTTTTTTTTCTTTTGAATTTTCATGGAATGGTTACAACAACGTCGAGGCGCCGAATGGCACGCCGTACTTCTCCGTCACAGCAAACTTTCTTGGTTTAACAAAAGATGAAACTCTTCACACGGTGCATAGCTGCCAGGACTCACATGAACGATAGAGCAAGACGGGTGCTACAGCAATAAACTTGAGATGTAGCATTCCACGCAAGTCACTGAAAAGGAATTTCGTGACGTGGCTCAGAAAGGAGAAGGCACGACGCGTGTACGGTTCTGGAAACTAAGGCAATCGTCAGGAGCCTTTATTTTTTCTTCCTTTCAACAGCACCTATATTTCACACTAAATCCCGGACTCACTTGTCCGCGTCCCCACGTCCCCTACTGTGCTGCACAGCGCTCAAACTGGCAGGCTGTCCACAAGTCCTGCGGCACTGGCCAGTTTCTAGTGCCAGAATGCGTGGCTGGCTAGCAAACATACGTTAAGTAGCAAGCACAATATACAATGCACAGATTACGAAGAACAGCTGTTGATTTCAGGCATCAGTACCGCAACACATGCTTAGGAGCATGCACCTAGGTTACACGGCCGAAGGCTACCAATTGAATGCTAAATCGCTGAAAGCAAAAGCAATGAATCAGAGAAACATGCGAAGTGCTGCGCAAAACACGTTCGCAGTTCCTAAGCATTCACCTACCTGGAACAGCTGTATAATAAAACCATACAAGCAAACTCTTTTTATTGCTTCTCCATGGTCAGTTATATGAGCGCGCAACAAGAATCATACCTGAAAAAGCCACGACAAAACAAAAAGCTACTGCAAACCTTGCTTATTTGTTGTAAGATTCATGTTACAAATAATTCGTTCAGTGTACAGGCACGTAAAAGTCGAGCGGCTACTGACGATGAACCTCGTAGCACGGGGCGCCAAAGGAAGGACACTTGAAGGAGAGCGCGGCTTTCACATACCACTGAAAACAGCGGTTGACCGGCGCCTTCCGCGGACAACACTGCCCGCTGGAGCGGCGGTAGCAGCGTCGCATGTGAAAGGAACGAGCGTCCGTGCGTCCTCCCGCCGCTCATCGCCGCGACCACCGACGCTCGTTCACTCGCATGTGAAACAGGCTTAAGTCATTTTGTCGCCTCTGCCGCTTGCGACGAGTGTAGAAGCAGTGAGGATTGTGCTCGTTTCATAAAATTAACACTGCTGTTTTTGTATAATAAGCGAATATTGTGCCACAAGAATGAAGTCCTAATAAGAAAAATCACATGGGTGCAATAAACAGTCACTGCAAGAATTTTAGGGAAGCAACGCCTTGTATTCAGGTTCTGTATTATGTTTCCCGGATTGCTGTGCGGCTTGCTGCGTGACAAACTTTTTGAGTGCACGGTGTTTACTGTTTCTAAATGTTTGATCTCGCAAAGTAAAACTCAGCGCAGTGCCTTGGTATTAGAAATTTGGTCAGAAGCACGGGCGAACAGACTGCGCATGAATAAAGAGCCTTGTAATGTATACGTCATTAATATGTAGCGTTTGCATGTATGCAAAGTGGACACGGGATCGGTGCTTCTGTACAAGCACTGAATCGCTTCCCTTTTGCAATGCAGGTTCAGCTGGCATTCCTCGTGCCCTTCTTATCAAGTGCATCCTTAGGCGTGATATGCGCTCCTTCATTACCCTCGACGCTGGAACATCTAGGCGTCGGCGCGTCTGACGTGGTGATCTTTTCGCCTCGTGATTTCGCGCCCATGCCTACCCTGCCTATTCTTGATGAACTCGTCTTCAAGCAACCCCCCGGATCGACAGCAGCATCAACTTCAACCAAGTATTTAAGAAGCCAGCGCAGCCCAAACCAATTCAGTGGACACGGGATCGGTGCTTCTGTACAAGCACTGAATCGCTTCCCTTTTGCAATGCAGGTTCAGCTGGCATTCCTCGTGCCCTTCTTATCAAGTGCATCCTTAGGCGTGATATGCGCTCCTTCATTACCCTCGACGCTGGAACATCTAGGCGTCGGCACGTCTGACGTGGTGATCTTTTCGCCTCGTGATTTCGCGCCCATGCCTACCCTGCCTATTCTTGATGAACTCGTCTTCAAGCAACCCCCCGGATCGACAGCAGCATCAACTTCAACCAAGTGTTTAAGAAGCCAGCGCAGCCCAAACCAATTCAGTGGACACGGGATCGGTGCTTCTGTACAAGCACTGAATCGCTTCCCTTTTGCAATGCAGGTGTGTGCAAACGTTTCTTTATATGCAAAGAAAAATAACAACCTCTGCTTAATACTGGTCCCGTGTCCACGGGTGTTGTGTGAAGTGTTTTGTGAATGTTTTTTCATACCTTTTTTGCTGCTACGCGCTGGCGATGTTGAGAGCAACCCCGGGCCCCCTACCAAGCGTTCGGACACGCTCGGTGACATAGCATCCTTACCCGCAGATCCCGCGGAACAGATGAGGGTCATTTTCCAAATGCTCAAAGATGTTCACACCCGCTCACTGGAAAGTTCGAAGGTACAGACCGAATTAGCAGCTGATGTTAAAGCAATTAAATCTGGACAGAAATCCATCGAAACCAAGATCACTGCTATTAAGAACCGGCTTGAAGTACTGGAGGAAAATTATAAAAAACTAGAAGAACTTACCCAGGAAGTTAGTAGCATCCATACTCAGACAGATCAGCTTTCCGTTCAGGTATGCTCATTGCAAACACGCGTGCAGGATCACGATGACAGACTGCGACGCAACAACCTCATTTTCTACGGCATCCCAGATTCTGAAGAAACCTGGGCAATGACAGAGGAAAAAGTTATTTCCACTCTCAATTGCCACCTTTCTTCTCCCCTTTCCTCTGATGCCATTGAACGCGCGCATCGCTTGGGTACCTTCAGCCAGGGCAAATGTCGCCCAATCATAGTTAAATGCCTATCCTATAAAACAAAAGATGCGTTACTTGCGACACATATACACCTAAAGAAACATAACATCACTGTAGCAGAGGATTTTTCACCCGCTACACGTGCAGCTCGGAAAAAACTACTTGATTTTGCCAAGAGTCAACCAGGCCCCGTCAAGCATAAACTCAGCTACAACAAGCTGCTTCTGAACCAAAAATGCTACATGTACGACCCAAACAGTGATGCAATCATCAACATTCCAAATCGTAGTACACGAACCATTGCCCCGCCTGCAACTTCCAAGCCCTAGGAAAGCGCGAGGGGCAGTGGTCATGTGACTGTAGCTTCCATATCGGTCCTGTTTACTAATATCAGAAGTGTTCTTAACAAGTATAACTCTCTATCATCAGCGATCGACACATGCTCCGCTAAAATTATCGCGTTAACTGAAACTTGGCTCTGCGGGCAAGTGTGCGACTCCGAGATATTTTTAAACGCTCATCGCTTCTCACTTTTTCGTCGCGACCGTGGCACACAGAGAGGCGGTGGCGTACTTCTGGCTATTTCCAGCGATATCCCATCATCATCTGTACACGTTCATACTAATCTAGAAATGATATGGGCTGTGGTAACGCTTAGTCACCAGAATGTAGTCATCGGGGTATGCTACCGCTCACCCTCGCCTACATTCAGTAGCGAACTTCAAGATGCCATAAACGTTGTTAGTACGCGTTTCCCTACATCGCCGTTGCTCTTGCTGGGTGATTTCAATTTTCCCAACATAACCTGGAATTCCCATTCCCCTTTAATATTTCCGCTTTCGTCCCAAGCTCGCGAATTTTTAGACGTTTGCTCGGTATTTTCCTTACAGCAAATGTGTACACAAGCAACCAGAATAGTAGCTCACGCTGCAAACACATTAGACTTAATTCTAACAAATAGTTCCGATATAATATCGCCCATAACGTACCTTCCGGGTCTTAGCGATCATTTGCTTCTACATTTTTCCATTAACTTAGCCCACCCGAAAACAAAGAAAAAGAAGAAAATCATTCGTTACTATAACAGAGGTGACTTTGAGGCAATCAACAATGACCTTTCTACCTTCACTGATCTTTTTCTTGACGGTTTTGACGATCGCAGTGTACAAACTAATTGGAATATGTTTTCAGATAAAATAATTCAACTCACTGAACAGTACATCCCACACCGCAGTGTAACCAACAACTCAAATGCACCCTGGTACAACAGCCATATCCGGCGTTTGTCAAACAGGAAAAAGCGTTTCTTTCGCGCCGCAAAACTTTCGCCTTCTAATGAACGTTGGGCTTTATATGCAACAGCGTCTACAGTGTACATTCAAGCCCTTCGAGATGCAAAAAAAAACATTTTCATTCCCATGTACTACCTTCCATGTTAACCACAAATGTTAAGAAATTCTGGCGAACTTTTAATCCCTCAACCGATGACGCTATCACACTGACCGATTCCTCTGGCGACCCCATTTCATCTGATATTTGTGCCTCAGTTTTTAACCGTACATTTGCTGAGAACTTTTCTGCCCATTCTGCTGTTAATAACCCCACAACAAACAGCCATATCTTTGAAAGTATGCCACCTATACTAATCAGTACACTTGGTGTTCTTGAGCTCATTGGTGGACTTAGCCTTCATTCAGCTCCCGGCTGTGATAATATTAGTAACAAGTTCTTGAAAAACACTTCGGCCTACGCTGCGTTAATCTTAACTAAACTTTTTCAACAGTCTCTTGATCAGTCCATTCTTCCAAATGAGTGGAAAATTGGGAAGGTCATTTCAATTCACAAGTCTGGAAGCAAGACATCTCCACTTAACTATCGCCCCATTTCCTTAACCAGCACATGTTGTAAAATGTTTGAGCATACTATTTTCACTAACCTTGTCGGTTTTCTAGAATCCAACTCTTTTTTCTGTTCAGCACAACACGGTTTTAGAAAACATTACTCATGTGAAACTCAGCTAATAACCTTTACTCATGCGCTACATC